CCCGGGAGCCATCGCGGGAAGCGGCGCCGCCCCCGCGTGCCCGCCCAGCGCCAGGGCTCGTTGTCGTCCCCTGGTGCCCATAGTGCCTTCCTGGTGCCCGTTGTCCTCCCCGCCGGCGGCCGTTACCTCCCCCGGTGCCCGTTATCACCCCCGGTGCCCGTTGTACCCCCTCGGTACCAGTTGTCCCCCCCCAGCTGCCGTTACCCCCCGGCCCCGTTGCCCCCACACGCAGCGCGCCGGGCTCGTGTCCCCCCACCCTGGAGCGGGGGGGCCGCACGGCCGGGGTGTGTGTGTGTGGATTTTGCAGCGCATTTTGAGGCTCTTTAACCACTTTCCGCCCCCGTCTGGTGACGCGAGGCCGCGGCCCCTCCCGCCGCCCGCGGCCGCGCGCACGCGCAAGATGGCGGCGCCCGGCGCGGCGGGGCTGGGCGGGCGGCTGCGGGCCTGGCTGCCCCGGTAAGCGGCGGCAGCGCGGCTGCCTGCGCCGGCACGGAACGGGGACGGGACCGCGACCGGGACGGGTCCCCGTGGAGGGCGGGATCCGGCACTGGGCTGGGAACGACGCTTAACGGCGCTCCTGGGACTCGTCCCCATCTTTAATCGCGGCTTTGGGGCTGCTTTTTCACGTTGGGGGAGCACGAGGAGCTCCCTAGTCCCCCTGCGTTCCCCCCAGCACCCTTTCCTGCTAGCTGCCCGTGAAATGAACGCCAAGTACGGGAGCAGCGCTCCCGTTCAGGCTCCTCGTTCGCGTCCGCCAGCGCACGGCGGCGTTTCTGCTCCCGCTGCCGGGCACCTCGGCGCCTCTCAGGCCTGGCCAGGCTGGCCCCTCGGACCTGTGGCCTCTGTGGTGACTAAAGCTGCGGGCGCCGCTGCCCTCGGGCTCGTCGCGGCTGCCCGGCCCCCTGACGAGTCGCGGCTCCTGGTTCACGGCCCCTTTCCCGTCTCCTCCTTTGCAGGCTGACACAAGTGAGGTGGAGTCGCTACAACGCCCAGTTTCTAGAGCCAGAAGTGGACAAGGAGTTGCTCCAGAAGTCCTGGGATGAGCTGTCCAAGGAGGAAAAGGCAAGACAGGAGCTCAGGGCTGTTCGACCCATCAAAGCTGCTCCTTCCAACGTCTCCAGTTCTGTGTTCAGCGACCCTATGATCAGGTCAGCGAAAGCACCATCTCCTCCGTTACCACTAGGTCCCACAGAGCCAAAACACGTGGGAGTTTTGCTGTCCTCCTCAGCCTGTGCTTGCTGTGCTGCACATTGCCTTCTCCTACAGACGTTCCCTTCACTTGCGCTGATCTCCTACAAAGCCCGGGCTGCAGTTAGCAGTGATTACAGCCCCCCAGACATAGCAGCACCCAGATTTAACCATGGGAACACCACAATGGGGGGAATCTTATTTCCTTGGGAGGTGAAAGCTGTTTCGATCAGATCGTGTTTGCCTTTGTGTTGACAGTAAATTCACCAACATGATGATGAAGGATGGAAATAAAGTGCTGGCCAGAAGCCTTATGGCACAGGTGAGAAGTCATGTTTCTTTTCAGAAGTCTGTCTAAAATAATGCAAAAAGAAAAGCTGGGTACTCAAGCCCCTAGGAATTAGGATGTGCCAGGATGTGGGTCATATCCTCTCAGCTGTTTTCATGCCTTATCTTATGTGTACTTTTCCAGTGAAGCCAGGGTCCTATAAACAGGTCAGCCCTTCGAATGGGGACATGTGTTGTCAACAAGATTCCCCAAATAACGGGTTATTTGTACCAGAAAAACACCAAGAGTGTTGGGGTCCTGAGAAGAGGCTTTGGAGGGAGGGTGCCCTCCAATTCAGACCTGTGTTCCTCTCCCTGGCTCTGGTCTCTGCTGCTTGGCCTTAAATAAAGAGACAAGAGCTGAAAGAGGGTGAAGTAAAATGTGCTGAGTGCTGATCTGATGCCAGTAGAGCTAGAAAAGCACCTGCAGCTACATTTGTGAAATGAAAACAATACGTCTGTAAATATGATGTGATTTTATGGAAGGAGATAATCTGTTTTCTCTGCATTTCTCCCTTGTGTTTGCCCCAAGACCCTAGAGGCCGTTAAAAGGAAGCAGCTGGAGAAGTACCACAAGGCTGCAGAACACGAGAAGGAGAAGATTGAGTGCAACCCATATGTAATTTTCCACGAGGCTCTGAAAAACTGTCAGCCTGTTATAGGGCTCTGCAGCATCACAAAAGGAGGCAAAACCTACCAGGTAAAAGGAGGGGGTCTGGGAACACATCTGTTCAGGAGAAAACCAACAAGGGAAGCAAAAACACTAGTTTTCATGCCTTTTTCTGGGCTTTCTCCTCCCTCAGAAATGGAGCCATGTTGTCTTATCTGGCTTGTAACAGCACCTGGAAATCCTGTCCAAGGTCAGGACCCCAGTTTGTGATCGTGGTAGTGCCTGTATGAGCAGCAGTCTCTGCTTATCTGAATATACCAGGAGGGTTCATAGCAAACTGTCCGAGGAGGAGGTCAGTGACAGGCAGCAAAACAACCAGCAGTCCCTGGACTGCCAGTCCCATCCCCTCTGCAATGGGGAGAGGCCCCAAAGCCGTGGGGCAGGGCAGGGCGACAGGAGGGGTGGGCTAGATACCAATAGATAAATACTGATCGATAGATTCCGATAGATAATTCCTCAGTTAGCCGGGAATCCTTCCAAAGGCCTCTTGCAGACAGTACCTGAGACCGCTCAGGACTCCCCTTTCGGTAGCTGGTTTTAAGTGCAGGTGAGGTGAACTGGCATGAATGAGCTGCCCATTTTACTGCCCCCGGCATCGCTGGGGGGGCAGCAGGTTGCCCCTGGAGTCAGAGGAGGCTCTAGAAGTACCCGTGTCCAGCTGGACACCTCCGGACACCGGAGGAGAGGCCGGTGCCGCCTCCGCGGGCTCTTAGGGGCGGCATCTCTTGCAGGTGCCAATCCCCCTCAAGGACAACCGCAAGCGCTTCCTGGCCATGAAGTGGCTCATCACGGAGTGCAGGGAGAACAAGCACCGCCGCACGCTGCTGCCCGAGAAGCTCTCGCAGGAGCTGCTCCAGGCCTTCCGCAACGAGGGGCCCGTCGTCAAGAAGAAGCACGTGCTGCACAAGATGGCCGAGTCCAACCGCGCCTACGCCCACTTCCGCTGGTGGTAGGGCCGCCACGCGGGACCCGCCGCGGCAGCCGAGCGGAGCCGGCGCCACCGCCGCCGGGGGGGCGGCCTGGGAGCCCCCCGCGGCACGGAAACCCCTCGGACCACACAGGTTCCCATCACACAGGTTCGGTTCCTTCCTGCTTGGCTGGAAGGTAGAGTCTGAGACAGCTGCCAACCCCTGCACAGTGCTCTGGTTATTTCAGAATCACCTCCCTGTGAAGACAAGCCTTAGATATTGTGCATTTTTTCTCTTTTTTTTTCCTCCCTCGAGCAATACCGTATAAAATAATATTTTTCCATTCCACTTACCTGCTTCCTCAGGACTTCCAAGTCACTCTGCTGCTGTGATCAGCAATATTTTCCCCTTTTTGGCACTCAGCAAAGGAAGAAAAGAACTGCAGCTTCTTCCCCACACAACAAACAGTCTTAGTATGGTTGATTAAAAAAAAAAAAAAAGGCAATAAAGCCCTTTTTAACTTTTAGGTCTGGTCATCAGTGATATTGCAGAGACTTGATGGAGATATTAACAGGAAAAAATAAAATTTGAGCTTCCCAGGAAAAGCATCTTGATTCTAAACCTTTGTCTCTGTTGCTTGAATCTGTCACTGCTCTCTCCAGCCACGCGCTTGGCCCAAACCCCCTCTGCTGCCCTGCACTGGAGGGCAGAAACGAGCAGGGCAGAACCTGGGCGATGCCACCGTAGGGTGTCTGGTAGGAGCAGCTTCCATGGGCTGCTCAGAGCAGCCCTTGCTGCAGCTCAGCAGCTGCACAGGGAGAACACAGGGCGCACGTAGTGGAAAACTTTTATTAGAAAAAAGAGCTCTCAATAAACTATATAGTTGCCTTTCTTCCTCTCCCATTCTCCTAAGGAACACACCATCTTTGAAACGCACTGAATTTTGAGGAAACATCGCAGTTGTGTAAAACCTACAAAACCTGTTCCTAGCTGCTCGTGCGGCGCGTTGCCCCGGGGGAGCGTCGGTGGCCGGTGGTGGTGACGCCTGAACGGAGGTTCGGCCAGCGCGGGAGGCAGCTGGAGAGGCAGCGCTCGCTGGCGCTGTTGGCGGCCCGCCCGACAACAGTGTTTTCTGAGGCTTGTCCCACAGGAACAGGTACAACCTGGCTCGGGGGACTGTCAGGCTTTCCCTTCTGCCTCCCTCGGCTCTGCTGGCTCTTGGGTAAAGCAGAGGGCTCTCTGTGCGAGCGGTGCTTTCCATAATGCTCTCATACAACACTGCGTTGAAATTCCTTGCCCTTTGCTGGCACCACTCCATAATTAGACCAAACCAGGGGAAGAATCCCAGAATTGCTGAGGTTGGAAGGGACATCTGGAGATCACCCAGTCCAACCCCCTGCTCCAGCAGGGATACCCAGAGCACGGGGCACCCGGTCGCATCCAGGTGGGTTTGGGAGATCTCCAGAGCAGGAGCCTCCGCAGCCTCCCTGGGCAGCCTGGGCCGGGGCTCGGGCACCCTCACAGAGCAGAAGCTCTTCCTCACGTGGGGCTGGAGCTGCCTGGGCTTCAGCTTGTCCCCACTGCCCCTTGTCCTGTCACTGGCCACCACTGAGCAGAGCTTGGCCCCTTCCTCCCTACATTCTCCCCTCAAGTATTTGCACACATTGATCAGACCCCTCTCAACCTTCTCCTCTCCAGGCTAACCAGGCCCTGCTTGCTTAGTCTTTCCTCGTTCGAGCTCATAAGGACTTGCTGGGTGGTAACGCGCCCTCCCTCTCCCACCTCACCACACCTCTAAAGTGAGCCTAGCACCAGGTACAGCCCGGCAGCTACGTGCACGGGGGCTCTAGCCAGCGTAAATCCTATTTACAGGAAGTGCTAGAAAAACATTAATATGAAAAGAAATGCAACCTTGGTTCGACGCTTGCTGGTGAAAGTGCTGGGGACGTCTCGCAGCGGCTAATCCGTCACTTCGCTGTAATAGTATTTCTGGGCAGCGTCCGTCATCTTCCAGTCCGCGGCCCGGAACTCGATGATCTCCAGCAGCAGGAGCTGGGACAGGGAGCTGAGCCCCTCCTGCAGCAGGAAGCCGTCGCGGAGCAGGGAGAAGAGCTCGTCCATGCGCTGCGAGTTCATCTTCTCCAGCTGCTCGCCGATGCGATGCAGCTGCAGGACCAAGCAGTCCACCTGCAGAGGGAAGGGGAAAAGCCACCTGAGTACAAGGGGACAAGGGACACACATCTCCACGGAGAGCTCCTGCAGTCTTTTATGGATGGGCCTAGCCCTAAAATATCTATGAGAATCAAGATGAGGCTGGCCCAGACTTCTGTGCTCTCCCACAGGTGCTGTGACCCGCTGGAAGGAGAGGCTGGATGTCTGTGCCAGGACAAGCACCTCCCTAGGCTCCCCTGCCTCGCCAGCAAGTTTGCCAGGGAAAGGCAGCAGCATCGGGTGGAAAAGGACTTGTTTGCTGTGGGAAAGGCCCCGTGCAGCCACCGTTCTGCCGCTCCTCCTACGTCTGCGCTTAGGTAGGAGCTGAAGCCGCATAACCCAGGAACGCCCCGGGTTCGAGGAACGGCTGCATCTGCTGCAGGTCCCCACAGCAGCGCCAGCTTCAGCGGGGACATCCAGGGGCTCACAAGCAGCCCCTCCATCCGCTCCCTGCTCCTGCTCCCAGCGCTCCCTCCAAGCTCTGCCCAGGGCTGCGCGTTTCGCTGCTCCTTGTCCCCGCAGCAGCGGGTTGTCACCCTCTGCCCCGCACTCACCTCCTCCTCCTTGTGCAGGCTGTCGGGCTGCGCCAGGCGGAAGAGACAGTCGTAAACCGGGTTCACCAGCGCCATCATGGGCATGTTGTTGACCTGCGGAGGGGCAGGAGCCACTGTCAGAGCTCGGGCCCGGAGGGGAAGGCTCTGCGGGTGTTTCAGGGGGCCTTTCCCTTGCAGCTCCCCTTACCCGCAGGTAGTCGAAGATGTTGCAGATGAAGGTGACGTAGCAGGTCCAGGCCTGGAGCGAGCGGCTGCGCAGCTCCTCCCTGGCCTTGTACTCCTGCTGCAGCCGGTTCAGCAGGCTCCTCCGGAAGACGCTCTGGCCGACCTGTTTGCTCTCTGCCTGTGGCGACAGGCCGGGGGACGAAAGTGGAGCATGAGACGGCCGGAGGGCTGCGCGTCCCTGGCGTCCTCCCCGTTCCCGGCCCGCGCGGAGGCTCTTCCTCACCTGGATGATGGTGTAGCAGATGCGCCCGGCCTCCTTGCTGAACACGCAGTCTTGCAGAGACTGGTCCACTATAATATTGGCCACTTTCTCCAGGTCCACACTGCTGGGGTCTGTGGAGGGAGGCAACAGCGTGAGCAGTCAGCAGCCTCTGTCACGCGGCCATCGCAATGCAAAGAAAAGAGGAGGAAAGCATAGAAGTGGGAAAGCAAGAAGCTGACCTGAATATGAAACACCAGCACTGCTTCAAAGCGAGGTTAATGGCAGCCAAATGGGCAAATTCCTACTGGATTCTGAATAGAGACATGGGAAGTGGGAGATGCCAGCCCTGGCAGAGCGGGATGGGCAGGCAGCAGGAAGAGGCAGGGGGAAAGGGAGAAGAAACCAAGCCAGGGGAGGAGAGGTGACCAGGTGTGGGGGAGCTGCTGGGTGACTGGAAGAGGAAGGAGCCAGAAAAAATGGAGAAAAACAAGAGCAATGCAAAAATTGCAGAAAAATTACAGCAATGCAAGAGGAGAAAAGTTCAGTGACTTTCAAACCCGCCTCCTCCGAGGTGCAGGAGCCAAACCGGAGCAGCTGCAGGGAGGAGGTGAGCAGGGGCAAGGCAGGGAGCAAAGGCCTCCCGGGCGCACGGTCACCGCTTACGAAGCGGCTTTGGTGCCCTTAGCGGTCGGTGTCAGCAGAGGGGGGTCCAGGCACCTGGCCTCGCCCGCGGCGGGTACCTTTGAGCGCCGTCTTGAGCAGCTGCTGCGTGGCCGCGTCGAAGGACTGCATGCGATACTCCTCCCTGCCCTTCTCGCCCATGACCGGCCGGCTCCGCGGAGCCGAGGCGCTAGCGGCGGCCCCTGGAAGAGAGAACAGGGCAGCTGGGAGAGGCCGGGGTTCTGCCGAGCGCCTCGGTGAAGCCCCGAATTCCCAGGTGTCGGAGTGCGGGCTCTTCTTCCGCGAGAGCCCAGCCCGAAGGGCAGCCCTGGGAGCCGAGGGCAGCCCCGGGGAGTCCCGCACTCGGAGGCTTCCCCGGCCTCGCCTCCTACCAGCCCTTCGCAGGGAGCTCCTGCACCTGGAGCTTGGAGCCTTGAGGCTCTTCCAGCCGGGAAACAAGCCCCGTTTCAGCCTCTTGCTCTGCAGGGCTGGGCCACGCCGGGGCCGGGGCGGCTGCGCCCGGAGCCGCCGTTTCGCTGCGTGTGCGGATTCCTCCCCCCTTAGTCACCGCGCTGCGGGGAGGCCCCGGGCCCGGCCGGCACCGGGGGCGGCCCCCGCCGCTCCGCAGGGCCCCGGGCCCGCGGGGGCGCCCGCTCCGCTCCGCTCCGCACCGACCTGCCCGGCGCGGCCGCCCCGCGCGGCGCCATCGCGGCTCCGGCTCCCGGGCCCGCGGCTCCCGCTCCGGGCCTCGCTCCGGTTTCCTCTTAGGTCATTTCCTCGCCCGAGCCCGGGGGCCGGGCCGGACCGGGCCGCCGCAGCGCCCCCGCCTGCAAGCGCCGGGACACGGCGGCCCGGAGCGGCCCCCGGGCTGCGGAGCTGCCCCGGTTCATGCCGAGAACACGTTAAAACCCGGCGCGGCCGGAGCTCGCACCCTCGGCAGCGCCCGGCGAGCGGGTGCAGCCGCCCCGGCCTCTCCCGCTGTGCACGAGTCCTCCCGCGAACGCGGCGGCAGCGGGTGGGAAACAGCCGGGCACGAACATAAGGAAACCTCTAATATCCCCGCTCCGTCCTGCGCACACAGGGCACGCGGCGGGACCCAGCAGCTGCAGAAAGGCCACCCGGAGGGAGAGGCAGCGGGGAAAGGCAGCGCCACAACGCAGAGGGGAAAACGGTGCGGGCACAACCGCCGTCCAGCCCACAGCGCTCGGTTCTTTCCACGACTTGGGCTGTGCCGCCCTGGCCGAGCACCCTGGGCAGCGCGACTGGGGCCGGGCCTGGGCGTCACTGGGTGCGGTGGGAAACGGAGTGTCTGGAACAGCACTCGTGGGCGCCGCGTGCCCTGACTGTCCAGGGGTAAAAGGCACTAGAAGGAAACGTCACCGCTGAGCAGCTGGAGAGGTGAATTTGGGGTGACGCAAATCCGCCCTGATAGGATTACATGGGAGTGAAAATCCCTGCCATCCCCAGGAGGCTCCTGGTGCTGCTGCTGCGTGAGGCCGAGAAACCCGAGGATCCAGGGCAGCCGTTCCCAGGAGCAGACCTGGGAGGAGCAAGGTGACCCCAGGGCTCTCCCAGTTCCTGCTCCTCCAATTCCAAAAGCGGAGCCTCAAATGCTACAAGTGGCTCTTGCCAGAGCGGTGACCTCAGTCCCCTCTCTGAGGCAGGCGACAAAGCGACTCTCAGACCCAGCTCGGGATATTCTGAGATTGCTGCTTTTCTCCTTCACTCACAGGACCTGCAGCACCCCGATTAATGGCCCCGCGTGCTATATACACCCAGACACCATATACACCCAGGTGCTCTATACACCCAGGCACTCCATACACCCACGGTCTCCGGCCACGGGGTGCCTCCTCCAGAGACGGGCAGCCCACAGAGCTCCACCTCCAGCTGTGCTATCTGCTCCAGGTTATCTCATTCAACACAGAACAGCAAATTATCCCTGTTATTGTTCTCTCCTCTTCCCCAGACAGCAGGGGTAGGAGCAGCCCTTCTCCACTTGCTGCTCTACGTCCCAAAGCGGCAGCCGGGCGGTCCCAAGCTCCCGAGCACAAGCAGGGAGCACCGTCCTGGCAGGGTGTGCGGTTCTGCTCTCTGTGCTTTGCTCCCAGGAGAACCAAAGAAAATCTCTCTATCCCAGAGGCTGCGGCTCCCGTCGCTTAGTTCCTACCCAGTTTCCTTCTATTGTGCGCGGAGCAACAGCAGCTCTGACATGAAATGGAAAACAAGAGGCTTGCGATGTTTACACAGGATGGATGGGTCCAGATTTCCTATAGGGATATTGAAGTCTAGGTCAGTACGGAAAAATTTTCTGTTGCAGTCAGTGCTGTCCGTGCCAACTGGGACCATTTCTCTCTAGAACAATCAAGACAGTCTCAATCCCATCCTCTTTGTACCAGCTTTGAGACGAGGCCTTTTGGTGCCTCAGAAAGACGTCACGACACTTAAGTTCATTAGTGGTTATGAGGCCTTCCAAGCCATTACAAGTTATGACGTCTTCCTAGAGTGCAAACAAAGGCAAAATATTATTAAGAAGAATTTGGGGTGTTCTCAGAAGAGCCTAAATAATTTAGGAAAATGCCAACGGGATCGAGGCACTTCAAGGAGCCTTACTCAACATTCACAGTCATTGCATTTTCTTCTTTAATCAAAACCGTGTGTTTTTCAGTGCATGCAGCCAACACTCCCTCCTGTCTCCTCATTTCATGTCTCCTGCTCATGTCTCCTACCTGACACTAACATTATTCAGTGAATCTAATTTTTTGCAGTTGCCACAGTCACCTGCAGTGAAACTCAGTCTTTTTCCACTCAAAGGTCTCAGATCACGTCAGACACAAAGTTGTTTGTCCCAGGCTAGCAAGGCATCTCCCTGGATATTTTACCTACCAGCGAAACAGCTGCTCTTTAAAAAAAGCCTCTCCTAATACCTCTGGATAAGTGAGCAGCAGCGACAGGCGACGAAAATTCCATGGAGAAGCTGTGTCAACAGAATGGAATTGGTCACACTGGAATTCGGCCAGATCATTCGGGATTAACACCCTGAGTAACGCAGAAGAGACACAAAAAAATCCGACTCACTCGAGAACCATCAAACCATCCTCTAAATAACGGCAGGGCTCCCCCCTTTCCAGCAGTGTCCCAGGTGATTAATGTGCTTTTCCTTGGAAGTCTGCCCTCCCCGCAGGCCTCCGGGGCCACGTGCGCACGGAGGCCCAAGGAGGCTGCACGAATGACCTGAGGGTCCCTGGGGCCACTTGTGCATGGAGGCCCAGGGAGGCCACACAAAATACTGCAGTGCCATGTCCACACAGAGAGCTGTGGAGGCCACACGAAGGCCCGCAGGGCTCCTGCTCTGATCCACCACACCCTGCTCAGCTTTAAATAACAGAGAATAGAAGATGAGGAATGGAACCATTTTCGTCTTTTTTTTTTTTTTCCTCTTACATAAATCTTTTTTTTTTTTTTTTTTGTAATTTGCCATTCATTTGTAAAACCTTTGGAACTCCAGAATAACACTTCTTTTCCACCCATAATTTCATCATCCTTTTCTGGTCAAGCACCAGGCTCTGTTAAAAAATTCCTGTTTTACAAGTTTAGCCTTCTCGCTTGGGCTGATCTTCTCAGAACATTTTTATCTGTTAGCACCACTCGAGAATAGAGGCTTAGAAATGTTTGGAGGCCACTTCAGAAAAACAGTTAGAACATTCAAAATTGTGGTGGTTTTTTTCCTAGTTTCCACAGGACACTCCTTCATGGTCTTCACATAGATTAAATATTGACTGTAAAATTATATACAGCATCTGTTTGCTCACTGCACAGCAGCAGGGAAGCTAAGAACCCCAAAGCAGGGATTGGGTTTGTTGTGCGTTGAATTCTCCTCCGAGCAGAGTTCTCAATGTGTAGGTTTCCTTATGAAAAAATGCCCGAGGTGACACAAAACCCTATGTGATGCATGGCAAGACACAGCAGGAAATAGATGGGCACTTCTAAGACTTCATCAAGCTCATCAGATTTCCAGGAAGTGCAAGTTTGGGTCACCACGAATCACCAGAAGACACTGTGTTTAAGGCAGCTGAAGATGCAGAGCCGGTAAGTGGTCACAGACAGAAGCAGCTGGCAGCAAAGAAAAGGGAATCCAAGGACCCCTGCACCTTCAGGAGAATTTAACTGACTTCCAAACAGCAGTGGTACCTGTGCAATATAAGAATATGCTGCAACAAGCAGGCCATGGGCAGAGAAATAAAGCTGTGAGGTTGCAGCTACACAAAGCGACATCAGTTAAAACAGCACGAGCTAGAGCAGCATCCACCTCTGTGACCAAGGGCCAGTGCTGGAATCCCTCCTGCTTTATCAGGTGCCTTTTCAGTGCAGAGTCTCTAGGTAGTTTCACGCTTGTTTTTTGGTTTTGTTTTTCTGTTTCCCTTGCTAAACATCTGCTCATATTCGAGGAGGCAGAAGAAGAAAGTGCTCTGTGGAGGCAACTCACATTCACTTGCTGCYGTGTGGGCCTAGCAGGCAGTTTCTTACATTCAGAGCTCGGGTGTTTTKGGCACGCTTGAGACAGAGCAAAGCTGTCGGCTTCCCTCCAGGAAGAAAACAGGTAGCCAAATAYGTGCCCTCTTCAGCTTCTCTTCTTAGTGATATCAGTGCTCTTCAGAGCGCACAGCAGGCTGCAGAACATCTCATACCAGAAGAAAATGAGGCCGGTGGAGACAGCAGCCTTGAGCAAGCTGGGGGAAAGGCCCTTGAAGAGCCCGCCCGGGCCTTCCTCCCGCATGATCTGCCTCACACAGTCCAGGAGACCCCTGTACGTCCGCACCTAGGAGAGAAATGGAGAAAAGGTGAAAACAGCAGCACCAGGACAGCTCACCTGGGAGAGAACACAGCCCCAGGCTACATGAGAGAAACAGAATCACRACATGGAGCCTGGAGATGCCTTTTGGGGATTAATAAAACTGAAAGTGCCAGAGAATTATTTTGGTAGAGATAAAGTATGTGCTCTGTGTCACTAAAGGCTTAGGCAGATTATTCCAGCATGTATGATTTATGGTATGAGTTTGTGGAATAGCAATTTCAGACCGTGCTGCTATTGTTGTCTGTCTCCTTCATTTTTAAGGAGGGGCAACTCTGGTTTTCTGAAGGAACATAGCTAYAACATTTAAAGTCTCTAAATTGGTTATCCACATGTTGTCATGTCACAACGTGAAGGTTTAATATCTTGTGACACATCAGGGCTCTTAGAACAAATTCTGCCCCTCTGCGAGAGGAGAAGCATCCAGTGCAATGGGTTAGGACTTAGAATTCCTACTCTCAGAGTATCTTCCGAAAGACACTGATTGGCTTTTCAGATACCCATCTACACAGGTACCACTGGTGAATCAACACTTCATTCTAGTGGTAACTGGCTTGTTCTGAAAGCAAGCTCATGAAAACCAGTCAATTCAAACAGCTCTTACCTGCCCAAAGGCTGCCCGGGCTTGCTCAAAGCCGCCCACTTGGAGTCGTTTTTTGAACAGGTCAAAGGGATAAGTGAGGGTTTTGCTGATRAGTCCAGCGCAGCTGCCACAAACAAGGTTCTTAACATTGCCTGAGAAGAGAGGGAATGGAGAGGATAGCAGAGAGGGAAGGAAGGGATTAGCAGGAAGTTCCAATTTAAGTGTCGTGAGAGGTAAAATCATTTACACATAAGCAGTAAGGTCAGAAAGACCCTGGAAAGTTGCACTGTCTCTTCTGCACAGTCCAGAACCTCAGCCTGTATGTCCTGCATCTAGGTTGCAACATCCGCTAGAGCCAGAGCACAACAGCTCATCTCGAGTCCTTACTGAATCCTTCTTGATTCAGTCTTTTGCTCTGCCAAGTGGCAATACAAAAAAAGAAACAAAGAATTTGTCACTAGTAGATACAAAAGTTTTYATTTGGCCCCTTGGGTAAAAGCCACTGGAAATCCTGCTCTCCTGATTAATCATTCCCATCCAGAAAAAGTCAATGTAAGTCACAAGTTGACACTGCCTGATGATTTCACACAGGCCAGTGGGAAATGAGCTTTATGATATTAGCCTTCTTCCTGACAAACACCAGTTCACAGCACAAATTTAGTAAGAACATCTGTCATCTAAAAATAAATAGGCAGGCATGATCATGAAAATATTAGTTCCACCTTTTGAAGAAACTCTGGTGAGGAACAGAAAGATGCTGATGTTGCACACACTGTCTCTCCTTGGGAGTGCCTGGGCTCTGGAACTGCCAAGGTGACAGACTGCATGAGGACGAGGTTCTCTGAAAACGGAGCTATAAATCAACATAAAAATACCAAGCCCTGAGTTTGGGAGTTTTAAATTAGACTTGATGATTTTTCTGTTGCAACAGCTGTGCTGCAATCTGCAGGCAGATTTCCTGAARAAATCCGAGTGTCCTGTCCCCATAGTACTAATGAARTGAGAGAAATCAYGCGAGCCAWGGTCCTCCCACAGTGAGAGTGTCCYCACAGTTCAGGAAAGGGTGCCCAGGTCTGGCACCTGTGGCACTTTGCTCTCCCACGTACCCACGTTTCCATCACGCTCATTCTATAACACGAATTGCAGACTGCACTACACTTTGTGACACCTGCGCAAGTGTAAGAATGAGAGATGGGAATCACACTGACATTGTGCACTGACAAGGTTGAGAGGAGAGAAAATCGGGTTTATGTCAGTGTCCCAAACTAGCATTCATCCTCCCCTTCTCTCCAAGAACACCGACATCCCTGCTCCCAATGCCTACCTGCTTCCTTTCGTTCAGCTGGAATCACCCATTCGGAAAACTGCTGAAATATGTTGTAAAAGGAGAACTGGAGACCAGCATATGGGAAGACAGCAATGATTGTGGGGGTCAGACCTCTGTAGAAAGTCCACAGCCCCTCTGTCCGGTACATGGTCACTACTGCATGGCGAAGGCTGGGATAGATCTAGACAATACCCAAGAGGAAAGATACCCAGTGAACAAGTTTAAATCCAATGGTTATTTCCTGGTAAAGGTGACAAATTTCCCACTGCTCAAACTACAGTTGACTGCATGGACTGATGAATAAAGTCATTTTAAAAAGCCTGGGCTGACATTGTATCCCGCATCCAAGGCTTGTCTCTAAGGGGAAGAAACAAAGTTCAGAGCCAAGAGACATCATGGTCTTTTGTAACCACTTGCATCACACACAGCTATTTTCTTCCTAATGCCTCTGCTTGCTCCTGTAACAGAATTCATATGAATATATTGTGATTTTACTGCATGTTACATCAAAGCCCTTTACAGAAATGGCTCTGATACAAACTCATATCGCTTCAGTAGTAACAGACCTAATTAGCATGGAGATCGATTCTGTTCTAAATAAGACAATGAATCACACGTGAAAGGTGACTAATTTCTAGCATCATCACCACCTAACCGTGACTCTTTGGAAGTGGAAAATATTAACCTCGCCATGTGCAACAGACAGAATACTCTTTAAATGGCCCACAGCCAAAATGAACATCAAGCTATCTTGATAAGGGCAGCTTCTCCTTTCTGGGGCACCTGTCAGGAGCCAAACAAAGCATGCAGCACTACAACACAAGAAAGCTATGTCAACAGCACAAAGGATAACTTGGCCACAGTACCAATATTGCCCAATAGCAATTGCAGTACCTATTCTTTTATGTCAACCCACAGGCTGTAACGTCCTTTTTAAGCTTCTCATGCTCATGCAAATGAAATATTACTTCTGTTGTGAATAATTCCCAAACCAGGATTCCTGGCCCATACCTTTGGCTCTCCCTGAGCAGCAAAGCGGGTGCGCAGCGTGTCCACAGGCTGAACGGCCACCGTGGCCGTGCAAGCRGCGAGGCCGCCGCAGACAAAGTGCACGAAGGACCCGCGGGCGCTGTAYGACGTGACGTTGTGCACCAGTTTTGTCAGGCTCTCAAACACCATGAACTACAGAAACAAACACACACAGGTCACGGAGGCAACTCTTGTCGCTGGCAGATCTGTTTTTCACTTTACCAAAAGGGCTCCACCCCTCACCTGTAACCACCCACTCTGTGCCCTTCAGAAGCCCCTCAMACTGACAACCTCTTGGAGCATATATACAAAAAACACCCTGTAAAAATCACTTAGCAACACAAGGAATCTGATCCCCAATACTTCTGTCAACGCAATCTTCYATTTACAATTATGAAAATCTCATTTTAATGCTGTATGCAACCTGAAGAGTATTACAGGTACGCTTCCCATTACTCTTTCAACCAGCCATCATAAAACACCTTGTTACTATTTACAAAGCAGGACAGTGCTGTGCAAAACACAACCATCAGCCTCACTGACTTGCCACCCTATCAGCTCGTAAGGCAAAAATAAAACAAAGAACTTGGAACATAAACAGTTAARTATCAGGAACAAACAGGGCTTGTCTGTGTCATCAGGAACAGACCGACCTGGGCTTGCCCTTCTCTTAGCTGTGCTCCAGGCTGGCCAAGCAGAACAAGTGCCATGGAGGAAGCCCAGGGGCATTTATTTAGGAAYTACACAGCACACACCTCTGAAACGGGGGCTGGCCTGCATTAACATAGTGCAGGCCTGGATTTTTCTGCATCTGCAAAGAGCTGTAGAATTGCTGCAAAGCGGGGAGGGCTACAAGTCTAGGCCTGGCTGGTGTCTGCTCCCCTTACCTGCACAGCTCCGTAGCCAACGGAAAGGAACTGGGCAGGGACGTGGCCCTTCCAGAAGGCAAACAAGCCCTCCTCCCGCAGGATGCGCTGCGCAGCTTGCAAGATGCCGTGATATTTAGCCAGTGGGTTTCTGGAGGAGAGCTGCTCGATCTGAAGCTGGAGGAAAAAAAGAAAAAAAAAACAGAGGAAATACTTTCAATTTCAGCCAGGTCCAGGCGTCTGAATCAGGAGCTCACGACCTTGACAGACAAGCAAGGTTAAGTGGAGACATTCGGCCTTCCCTCAGACTCCCATCAGGAAAGGGCTGGGAATGCRTTGCTGCAGGGCTCTGAGGTGTCCAGGATAAAAACGCACACACAAAGTGAACACAACCAGGGTGAACGATGGTGAAACTCGATTAAACAATGGAGGTTACTTAGAAAAAGAGGAAGAAAGCGGGGAAAAGATGAAGAAACGTAAGATCCCATTCAAACACCCCAGATAAGCTAACCAAACAGAAGCAGCAGCCCCAAGATACGCGGCTGTGTTGCACAAGGCGGCAGGGCGGGCGGATCTCGCTCCGGGYGGCCGCACGGGACCGTTCCCGAGGCGCAGCTACCTGGAAGCGGATCTTGACGACGTCCAGGGGACTGACGAGGAGCCGGTTGACGAGGCCGGCAGCCGAGCCCGCGGCGGCCGCTTCCAGCGTGGACACGCACTTGGCCTCGGGGTCGTAGCCGACCATGTCTGCCCGGCGCCCCGCAGCCTGCGCACGGACAGGGCGCCCCGTGAGCCCCGGGGGTCTCTCAACGTCCCCAATAGGCCCCCCCAGCCCCAAAGCTCCCCCAGCCCCTAAGCACCCGCTTTCCTCCAACGCCGTCCGCAGCGTCCCCAGCCCCAACGGCCCTCGGCGCCCCCGCCGCGAGCCCCACAGCCCCGCCGCTGCCGCCCCCGCCGCGGCTACCGGGGCTGCCCGAGCCGGGTGCCCAGGCGGGGCCGGGGGTCCCGGGCGGCCGCTGCGCGCTCCGGGCCCCGCCGCCTCAGCCGCCCCGGCCGCACTGCGCCTGCGCGCCGCGGGGCGTGCTGGGAAATGTAGTCCCCACCCCGGGACGGGCCCGCGCCTCCATACCTAAAATTGGCTAAATTTGGGGATTTGCAGGTCTCGGGGCCTGCTGCCTCGAGGCTGCTTGTGTAGGCGCTCCTATCCCTAGGCCTTCTTATGCTGTACGTTAAACTCCATTGCAAAGCGCACACAGGATGCCTGGGGAGGAGAGGCATCCGCCCAGCCGCATGGCCCGGCACGGGGTGGGCACCGCTTCCATGGGGTCCCAAGTCCCAAAGGGAGCCCAGGAAACGCTCCTGGGGCCCTAAGGGAGCCCACAAGACGCTCCCACGGTGTCCGAGCCAGTGCTGCTGCTCTCCAGCACAGCGGACCTTCATATTCCCCCTGGTCCTTCCATAAGGAGGAGCTGGGAGGAACCATAAGGGGTCCTGCTCCCTAGCCACGGTGTCACAGGAGTTGGGAAAAAAGCTCGGAAAAAGCCAAGGCAGGAATATTTCAGTGGCATCCAACCATTCAGGGAACAGATGCACGGTCCGCACTCCGGCAGCGATAACGACTCCTTTCCGCGTCCCTAACGCCAGTGTGCGACACCCGCGTGTCGCCTCTGACTCTGCTTGGAAGAGTGAAAKCCCCAGGCAAGCACCTGCAGATGAAACCAGGGCTCCGAAGGGCCCGAGCCCTTGGCCTCGGAGCACATCCCACCGCCTCCTCTTGGCTCCCTCCATCCCGTTTCGCTAACTGAAATAACAGACAGATGCTCGAGTGAAGAATTCAATGTATATTTATTATTCACAGTTAATTACTATCTACCAAATGCTGCTGCAGAGTTAAAGGATTAAGTACATAGGCCTTTTTTTTTTTTTTTATTTAAACACTGATTTTTTTTTTAATATATATACACACACAAGACATATGTCTGCAAGGCTGCATGATATACACCAATTCCAAAATAAGGAAACAATCAAATGGTCCAGGTGTAGAATGCCATAGATTCCTTTTCCAATCACTTCACAAGGAAGGAAGAAAGTGAGTGACAGCTAGCAAGGAGAGGGGGAGAACGTGATAACTCTACAGGATAGCTCTCTCTTTCATCAGCTGGAAAATTAAAGTGTAAGGCAGAGTCCATCTCAGGAATAAAACATTTTGTAACACTTAGTACAAAAAAAAGGCACCCTCCAACTCGAGCCCGCCCGTGCCTCGGTAGGGCGGGAGGAAATCTCCACTGCAGCTTTTGGATTCGTTGGTGGGGCGAAGGGATCCAGCCACGCGGGCAGCCAAAGGAAAAATAACGCAAGTGAAGATTGGCACAAGGAGCGGGGTGGTTTCCTTCCTGCGCGACTCCGCGGCGCAGCGCTCTGCTGGAGGAGCGACCGGCCCGAGCGCCTGCCGCCGCGGGGAGGGACGGGGATCCAGTCATCGCACAGCCTGCTGTGAACGGGGCGCGGGGCAGGGAAATCTGCTCTGTCAACAGCAGCGACCTGAGGAGGGGGGAGAAACTGGAGAAGAGTGAGGCCAAGCCCACCTTGAGGGCAACGCGACTGCAGATGTTCCCTAGCCAGGCCAAAAGGACGGGCTGATCAACACGCGTCACRTGGCAACATTCGCTAAGAGCATCGAGTGTTTTCAAGCACTATTTCTTGAGGTTCCTCTGTGTGACAGACCTCTCCATCACAGGAATGTATGTTTTTATAGGACATCTCAGGGCTCATTTCCCAGGTTTTTCTCCCTCTTTCCCCCCTTCTCTTACTTCTTTGAGGCTCCCGGTTGCAGCTCCTCACCTCTGAGCAGCCTAAGCTGCTACTGAATGCCTTGGATTTCTTTTTTTTTTTTTTTCCTTGGAATAAGGAAAGTCAAACAGTAAGACAAATCTTGAAATTAAAGCTCCATCTCTGTTTGTAGTTTTTTTTTTCTTAAATGTCCATTGGTAAAACCACCCTCCTTTACACCCTTCCCCCCAAAATATTTACACAGGCAGAAAAAAAAAATCCTCTGAAAAGCTCTGGACTGTCCTTTTAACTTAAAAAATAATTAAAAAAAGAAAATAAGGGAAGGCACTATGGAAAAAATTACAGAACGTGCTCAACCGTACACCTTTAAGAAAAAAAAAAACAAAAAAACAAAAAAACAAAAAGCTGTCAGCACAGCAAGAACAGACTTCAGTTGTAGGCTGGAATTTCTCAAAGCAGCTCTGTGACTCAAAAGAAAAAGAAAAACAAAACAAAAGCCACATACACTCTTCTCCCTTCCCCTGCTTGGAAGCTGCTGAGCTCCGTAAGAAAGTGCCAAAGGAGAAGAGAAAATAAAAATCAGAGCAACACCTCATCTTTCCCAGGCCAGAAGAGCTGAATGTTGAAGGCAAATGCAAAGACTGATGACTTTTGTGTTTTTATTTTTAAAGGCAGGACTGTGGATTTGGTTCTTCTCTCATGTCCCTTCATGTCAAATGAAGACTGCTTGCAGAGAGAGAAAATACCAGCAGAGTTTCTCCCTTTTCCTTTAACTGCATGGCTAGGACTTTATATGGCATTAAAACATCATGCACGGATGGACAGAGGAGGAGGGGGAAACAAGAAGAGCGAATGAAAGGGGGTAACCCAGGAGCAGCTGAGGAAATTTGTTATTTTCATTTCTTTTTTCTCTCTCTCTCTCTTTTTTTTTTTTTCTCCTTTTTAAAGATAAGTTTTGGTGTGTAAGTTGAACTCTCCCCCTGCCTCTGCAGCTCCGTACTGAGTGAAGGAGGATCACCTCGCGGTGGAAGGTGACTCAGGTTTTATCGCCGTGTGATTTTAGGTCACTGGCTGCAGTTAGGCTCTGTATGTGTATTTACTGTTTCTCTGGTTTCTTTAAATAATCTCTAATATTTATCTCTAGATGTTCCGATTCACCGGGGTCACGTAGTTGCGTGGAAACATGCCCGTCTGTCCGTGGCAGGCTCCCTTCCACCAGTTGGGGTCAGAATTGTCAAGGACTTGGATAAAGTCTCCGCGGCGGAAGCCTAGCTCTCCTTCCTCCTGGGGATCAAAATCAAACAGGGCCTGAACGTACGTTGGTTGCTGGAAGAGATGAGAACAAAACGACGTGAGAATCACCCAAGGAAAGAGGCATTTGCTCCCTCAGACCGGGCTTAGCCAGTAAATATTTAGGTTGCTTCACTTCTCTGAAAGCCACGCTCTACCATCTGCAAGAGGAGGCTAAAAAGGTTTAGCCCACAGAAGACCTTAAAAATCCTTTTTTTTTTTTTGGTGAAAGAGCTGAAATAAAGACATCAGATGATGTTTCCAGTATTTCSCTAGCATGCTCCAGTGTTCATGACTTACCATAAATCTATACTCTGCTACAAATGCTATATTTGCCTGATTTTCACCAACTGACAGCACATACATTAGTTCTCTACCTAACACTGTTTTCCTAACAGTATTCTACCTAATACTTTTTTCCTTAAAATTTGAATGTTGGCATTTTACATAGTTTCTTGGCACCATTCACAAGAAGAATGCACCACCCAGAAGTGGCACAGCATTTTGTCTGGTCACCAAATGCTTCCATGCTTTTATGGAAAAGCTACGAGTTCATTAAAAAGGCATTTGTATTCTCCAGGCTGTGAGGTTAGAAAGGAATTCTCATGCCTGTCTTTTTCAGCCACCTCTTTTCTGATCCCGTTTAGCACAATGTTACCCAATGTAACATTCAATAGCCCTGGGAAATGGCACAGAACAAAGAGCAAGTTCTACACAGGCTGCTCTGCTGCCACTTAGCAGTGGTTTTTGGTTTCTGTTAATACAGGTTAGATCCAAGGGAACAAGCTAGAGATGTCCCATCTGCTACTACCTGTGAGCACCTTTTCTTAAAAAGATCTTTCTTATTGTGTCCCAAAATAGGAATAGCCTTTTTTTAATTTGCAGAAGTCAGCAGACAACTTTACTTCAGCAGCAGCATTTGCAAAGCTCAAARGCAGCCAAATGCTCAAGAAGCAACAGTAACATTTCACCAGAACCAAAGGGGTTTTCATAAACACTCAGCTCATTTCCTAGCTCACGTTTGGATGCTGAATCCAAAGACACATTTTTACAAACAAGGAAAATGCTCCAATCACCTTCTGTCACCTTTTTGCTTACTCTAAGCTGCAACCCTATATCAGCTGGTGGTTTGCAGGGGTTTAACACACTCTGTTCTTTGAGGACACTGTTTCTCTTACCTGCGGCACCTGTTCAATGTCCCGGAGAAATATTTGCTGGTTCCTGGAGACAGATGTGGATCTGTGATAATCTACCAGCTCGTTCAAAGAATTGAACTTCACCACCCAGAGGAAATACTTGCCAGCCCCATCTCTAAGCACCTTGAAGTGCTGCACATCATTTCCAAACCTGGGAGGAAGGAATAAAGGACAAAATAAAGCACATTAGCAGCACTGAGAGTACTCTGTGAGTGGGAGACAGGGTAATGCATGAGTGCCAGGTGAACTGCTAGGAAAAACCTGCCTCTTTTGGCAGCCAGAGTCAACTTGTGCCAGCTGTGAAACTACAGGCTAAAAGGCCATCTTGCAAAACAAGAAGAGCAATAAAAAAAGGAAAAAAAGAAAAAAGTATAACAGAAAGTGCACCAAAGGTGATGCTGCACATACACTGATGCAACGTCAACTCTGCATTAATAGTTCTGACCAATGTTGGCATTTGGTTAAAGCTATTTTTTTCCCCAACAATTTCAGTTTGAACAAAGAGGTGCTCCAAGGCCTCCAGGAGGATTTCCCAAGCGAAAGGCACATGGATTTTTTTCCTTCAAAGTCCAAAACAATGAAAACTGGAGACAATTATTTGTACTTGGCACATGTATTTTCTATAACTTGGCTGAAAATGTACAAACCATCTTGGCTACAAAGCAAACATGAAACTGCCTCAGCTCCCCCTTCATAAACCTGAGAGTTTCCATTGCAAAATATGCAAATCCCCTTTTAGAAAAGTGCTTCTTCTTCCTACAGTATATTTAAAAGAAAAAAAAATCATTTGAGAACTTGCCCACCAGATGGCAACACTAACCTAAGGTTACTACTTTAGGTTTTACAAAGCAACATATTTTCTAGAAGGAGGCTTCCATTCATATCTAATATTCTAGCTCTGATGATTGTACCCAAGGCAGAAATATAAACATCTCTCTACAGTCACTGGTTTTAATTCAGTTTGCTGGCATGACTCAGTGCTGCTGTAGAGGGGGACAAAAATTTGATTACAGACCAAAAAAGACCAAAAAAAATCCCATTGAGATGGATTAGTGATAGCCATGGAAAAGCCAGCAAAAGGGAACTCTTGTGTGGATGATCAGGATCTAGTGCTCAGCTTCTGAAGAACAGATGAACAGATAAGATGAATATCTCCAAGACGAGTATCTCCAAGACAAGGGCCAAGAGGCCACCAAAAACAGATCTGGAAGTGTACCAGGCAGACATACAAGACAAAATATCTTTTTTTTTTCCTTGAGAGTAAGAATGGAGGAAGACAGGAGAGAGACATGTATGCACCACACACTTCGTAGAACATTATTCCTGCTCCTCAGTATTAACAATCCCCTGTCCCTTATCCATGTCCAAATCAGAAGTGTTTCCTGATCACCAACATTACTGCTTGTGGCCATCACTTACTTGACTGAGAGGGAGAAGTCCCCAGGAGCGCTCTCGCTCTCCCTGATGAGAAAGGCACCATCGTGTCTCTGTTTGCCTAACATCTCTTCAGCCTTTGCTCGGGGAATCTTTCCAAAAAACCATCTGTGGAGGAAGGGAAGGAAACAAAAGATGAAGTTAAGAATTTTAATCCTCTCATGGAAGACCCTGATGTTTGCACCAACATGAAATGATTCCTAACAGGAATAGCTAAGCTACACTTCGTTGCTGCTTTAGCACAGGCACCTGAACACCATGCACCATTTCATACTGTTTCCTCTRGGCAATGAAGGTTACCTTGCCTTCACGAGCAGGAGCTCACAAAGGCCCCATTACAACTAATTTACCAGAACAGAGGTGCCCCACAATTCAACAGCAAACAGACTAAATGCAGAGCTCAAGCAAGAAATTCATGCCTTAGCCCTTCCTTTATCCCATTAAGAACACATCCCATCACAGAATCCCAGGATGGCTGAGGTTGGAAGGGACCTCTGGAGATCACCCAGTCCAACCCCCTGCTCCAGCAGGGACACCCAGAGCACGGGGCACCCGGTCGCATCCCAGCGGGTTTGGGAGATCTCCAGAGCAGGAGCCTCCGCAGCCTCCCTGGGCAGCCTGGGCCGGGGCTCGGGCACCCTCACAGAGCAGAAGCTCTTCCTCACGTGGGGCTGGAGCTGCCTGGGCTTCAGCTTGTCCACACACAGTGGAGCCACACACAAGCAGAGAGCAAGAAGGGCTCCCCAGCCAGACATAAACTGAACTGTGAGGCTTGGTTCCTTTCCTCGCCCAGCACGGAGAGGCCGAACTCTCTCCCGCATCCAGCCTATTCCCAGGCACAAAGATCTTGCATTTCCTTGGTGGTTCTGCACCTGCAGCACTTCCCGAGAGCGGAGACGGTGGCAGAGCCAAGAGCTGGAGCACTCACCTGCCTCCTGAGCTCCACTTCCTCCCAAATCAGCCACGAGAAACCAGCATGTGCAATTCCTTCAGAATCCAAATAGCATTTTTTCCCCTTGAACTTTTGGCAGAGTTGTTACAAAGATAAGCAAGTCTTGAACTCAACCTCTGCCAAGCATTACATAACACAAGCTTTATACTATGATTTCAGATATCTTGCCATAGTTCTTTCTTACTTATTTCTTATTTCACCCTATTTCCTCTCTCAATTTCACTGAATCATTAAAGAGCAGACGTGTACAATTCAATTAATGGAAGTAACACTTGCAAAGTAACAATATAAAATCCTCAGAGCTCTCTGGCAGCTGTTGGCAAGGCATTTTAGTTTGAAAAGGAGGCAGAGGTTAGAAATCTTCCACAATTCCTGAGCTCTCTTGTATGTTTTATGACTGCACCACCACTTCAGCCATCCAATAAGCAAAAAAAGATGGATTTTTAACTACAGAAAAGGTAAAGAAAACCCAGCCATTCTGGGGCTTTCACAGGTCACAAAGAAGTAAAGCAAGTTACTTGGAGGGAATAATGTCTACTTAAAAACACACATGCAGAGCATCAGAGAGTTGCCATGTGCAGAAACCTTTCCTGCAAATGACTCAAACAAAATCCGAGCATGTCCAAGACAACAGAACCAAAGCAGGGATCGTAACATTCCCACGGCTTCCCTGCGGAATGGGCAGGCTTGGCAACATTAGTCCCAACAAGTCACGTAGGTGAAGCTCATCCAGCCAGCCCTGCAAAGACAAATGCAGATATTSCTGCTGCACGGCTAGGGGAGATGCACGGATGGGTACAAGGCGGTTCACGCTGCGCTCAGCCTCCTTTCCATCAGCAGTTGGGAAATCCTTTTGGCTTTGCTGAGTGCAGCCATTCAGGGTGGCTCTGTTTCCTCCTCCCAGGTTAGAGAACCACAAAGCATCACTTTGGCAGGAGCAGATGCGAGTGGCCGAGTCTTCCTCTGGCCCCCTGGCAAGAGAGGGCAGCCCTGGCACTGACCTGCCCGCCGGGCCTTCGCGGGAAGCCTCCTCGCAGCTCCTCACCAGGACCACKGCACAAGGATCACGAGGTATCTGCTCAGCCCTTGGTTTTGTTAACCAAGGCACAATCCATATTAACTCTTTTGGAGCCCGCATGGCTCAGCTGATGACCGACAGGCTCTGCATCTTTCGTTTGCTTTATTTGCTGATATTTGGAATATTCACAATGTTCAAGCAGGAAGAACATGACATTTAAGCCTAGCTGTGCGGCTGGACGATTTCAAGATCTCAGTGCTAGGGGCAGGGTTATCATATAAAACCATTTTTTTAGCTTCTTTCTCCCCCAAACTCTTTGAAAAGTCCTTGTGCCACCTTTGCACAATGCAGTTTGACACTGGTCTGAGAGAAAGGGCATTCCCCTTCCTGCCCCTGGCCAGCTGCCCGCAGTTGGCTTTCTTCATGACCCGCCGGGCCGCTCGACGCGCTCCGCATCACAGCTAAGCAAACATCAGGCTATAAAAACTTCTGCATAATTTCCCAGGGTTGTTAATGCACTAGTTAAGACTCCTAACAATGCTGACACATGGAGTTAACTCTCACCATGTAGCTGCCATCAGCAGTTTAAACATCTTCAAAAAAGGACAGATTAACCATGCTTAAAACCCATCCACGAACTTGCCTCCTTTCAGGCTCTGACACTGGTCATTCCCTCTTGGGTATCAATAAATACAAAACTGACAGCTCTGTCTCTAAAATGAGTATGATTACAGAACGAAGAGAGTATTATTATAGCAGAAATCAAATAAATACTTCTGAAATGGTTATTGTAAGATATAGAAGGATTTAAATTAATGAGATGGAAATCAGCATGTGCAGTTGTGATGCCCAGTGGACTAGTAGGATGTGGGAAAACTAGACCTGTATTTGCAGCAGGCAAGGCTTAATTTAAACAATTTCAGAAGTTTGACGTGCAAAAATACCTGATGGCCATAAATTATTCAGAATCATGAAATGCTACAATTTTCGTATGTTTGTTTCTTTGGATTTAGAAGGAAGCATTCAAAGAGTCACTTGGATAGACTGGTCTGGAGCTGCACCTGCACCGCAGCGCACGCTCTGCTGCGACAGCGCCGGGTGGGATAAGATGATGCTAGAGAGGTCTCATCCAACCTCAGTTATCCTAAGTACAGAACCACAAAATGTGATAGGGACATACCCTTGCAAATACTGCTAAACATTCTTCTGGTGAGCTATGAATGCCAGTAAGTGTTTGCTCTTATCTGTAACACGAAGCATAAGAGAGAACCAAYCCCAGAAGACAGAGTCAAGGCCCAGAGTCAACACCTGGGCCTACAAAACAGTGAAATGGCTCATCATGAATATCTAACATTCCCCTAAGGGGAGCCTATAAATAAACATTTTAAATTCTCTTTTTCAGATAAACCTTGATAAAAACCCTGCATATCTCAGATGCAGTAAGGTGCACAGTGCAAAGTGCTCAGCAACAACCTCCCTCCTCATTTAGAGGAAGACACAAGCAAGAGGCAACTGCTCAAAGCTCAACTTACGGATGTGGTTTCATTTCTATGTAGTTCTTGGGAATGAAGCCATCTTTTCCATTGAGTTCTGCCTTGTACCAATTCTGATCACATTCTTCATTCAAAACCTGAAGGAAACAAAACAACAAAACACCAAAATTTTACCAACTTTTCAAATAACACCAAACTGATCAGGCTGTTGTGGCCTGATCCCGACAGAGGAATGAGGCACAGGAGCAGGGCTGCAGCCCCAGGGCTTCTCATGAGCAGAGCCACGCGGGATAGTTACAGTTGAAGAAGCAACTTGAGTTATTAAAATATCGCATTCATATGTTTTTCATATGAATAAAAGCACTCAGACTGTGTTTTGTGCCATTGGTTGGGAATAACATCCCAAAAATGTTTGGATGTCCATCGGTACCTGGTGGCACACGCTCCTGTATCAGAGCTGGCACTGATGAAACCTTGGGTAAGAGCGTGAGCTGTAAACTGGTGTCGTTACCTTCAGAGAACGCAGCTAACGGATGCAGCAATCTGTTCTTTTCCAAAAAGAAGAAATGCAGGAAAAATAGTCTGTAGCACAGGAAGGGATATTATCACGTATTTGTGCTTTTGGCAGTAGGCATTAAAAAACTATCCAAATCTCTAATGCCCAAATGTAAATTAATGAGCTTCATGTTGCTCTGAAGATATGCTAATAGACCTGGAGGAGCCAAACCACCCAGGACGGGGGTGCTCATTAGTGCTAGACCTGGAGACGAACGCTGGCGAGGGAGCACTGCCCAGACAGGCACTGAGCTCCGCGACAGCACAAAGCAGCTGGGTAAAAGGCACAGAAAGATGACCTACCTACACCTACACACACCCCTACACACACACAACCCCTGTTTGGGYACTTGAAGCCTCCGTAAGTCTCCACCTGGGTGTCTTTGTTGTCTTTCTTCCCTTTCACACCCGGATCAGGTATTTTTATGGCTCGTTGTCCTTCCTAGGATCATTTTAACTCGCTATCAGAGCTCCATCCACACCCTGGCAGGCAGCCACACTACTCGTGTCCTATAGYGCATGGTATAGAGTCCGTACGTCACAGACCCACTGGCCCTTGCAGTGGCTTTGGAAAGCAACTTGCTCGAGTCTTGTTGAAGAGGAGCCACCCCCAAGACACAAACATCTACAAATCCATTCGTTTCAACTATGTCTTAAGCAGTCACTCCTGGAGCTGCTCCCAGCACTCAGCYGGGCAAACTGATCTATGCAGAAGCACCTGGAAGCCAGGAGAACTTTGCAATCCCATGGGTAATCCAGGAATTGGAGTTGCTGCCAYGGGGTTATGGAGCTGCTGCTAACAACAACTGCAAAATAATGGTGCAAATTTTCAGCTTTCGTGAAAAAGAAAAAGCCAAAACATCYACTAGTGAAACACAACTCAAGTTGTTTTCTTGTTTGTTCTTCAAGCAAGAACCTGCTAGAGAATTGTCCATGCTGCTGCAACCACCTTAGGCTTTTACATCTGGCAAAATCTCTTTTCCTGACATTTAGCCCACTAAAAGGCAAGATCGGACTTCATGCCATTAAACCATTTTGCTACGAAACACATAAGCATCTAGCAAATCTGTCCTTCTCATAATTAAATGTGGCCTCCTAGAGATTTCTGGTTGATAATTTTAATCTTAAAATGATCATTTGGATATTATATATATATATATATATACACACATACACCATGCCTATAAGAAAAAATAAAGAAATTTAATTGAACTATCATAAGATTTTTCCAGACTTAACAGAGCTGTAAAATTCAGTCTAAATACTGCATGTATCACTGGGTTTTGCTTAGGAGATTTCCCCAAGTACAAATAAACACAGATAAATTAAGCATGAAAATGAGACTGTCAGCTTCCCTGCTGCGAACTGCGGCACCCTTGCGAGTCTGCAAAAATCCAGAGCACAAACACTTATTTGTCTAATGAGACGTTAGGAACTGCTGCTTTTTGTATCGGTSAAAACACAAACCATTCCTTGGCGGGCAAAACTCCTGCCTGCTGTAGATCTAATGCACTCCACRACCGAGGAACTCGGCCTCTCACACTGGGGCATCTGTGCCTGCGAGGAGGAAGGAGGAAGGATATTTTTAGCCCCTGCGTTTGCACACAAACTGCCATGTGATGTCCTCAGTCTGGAGGCAGCCCTGGTTTACAGGAATAGTGGCTCAACTGCTGCCTGTCAGCCCTGGAGCTTGATGAAGGGTCTCTTATCAACAAAAGCCCATCTGTTCCCATGGGAATGGGGAAAAGGCCCTGCCGGAGAGCAGAGCTTTTGGAAAGCTCTCCGCCCCGCTGCAATCCTGTACCTGGTGACTACTTCTGCAGGCAGCTTTTTGCCCCGATGAACTGCTGCCCAGTAGGGCTCTACAGCCTCAGAAACAAGCGATTTTCTGGAACACCCAGTCACGGAACCGGAATGAAACAAGCGGATCTGCCATCAAAAGTCAGGTTGACCCCCACGTGCAAATGCATAAGCAAGCACAGCACCCAAACGCAGATATATGCRTGGAAATATAGCCAAGTTCCTTAAAACGGCCTAATTTTGGAGAGASAAATCCCAAGGAAGTTGCTTGGAGAGCTTTGGCAGAGCCCCWGCTCTCTGGTTGCAGGATCTGTGCCACGCTAACTAACCCACATGGCAACAACCGCTCAGGTACAACCTGTTGGCTGCCAGGGCTGTTTTCTTCCCTGAYAACATTGCACCGACACTGCTGCAACGATTAAAAACCCTCCCAAAAGCTCCGAAATCCAGGCAAAGGGCAGCTCAGGTCACCCCAAGGAGCACAGGAATAAAAATAATACATAATAATGTCAATGTGATTTGAATCCAGTAAACACTGCCACTGATTTTCTTTTTTTACCCAGAAATTATTTGCCCGGGGTGAAGCTGGGCTTGGGGGGGGGCTCCAGGTGACCTTTCAGGACTGGCAGCAGCCCCAGCACTGTCACCTCAGCCCTGCCMGAGGGGCTGAGCGCGCTGGGGCGCTCCCAGAGGTGCCACCAGCCCTGTCACCCGCTGCTTCACGGGAAGCTGCCCCCRAATTCAACACAGCCAGTTCAGCACAGACCCTTACAAGCATTTTCCTTCCCCAGAGCTATTGCAAATGGCACCTCAGGCTGTCAAAATTCCTTGTATCAGGGGGCTGTAAATGAGAGCCCAGGACAGATCCAACCCAGTAGCCTTTAACRCCCTCCCTGGTGCTCACGTAGGGAGGCAGCAACACGGAGCAGAGGAGGGAGCAGAGGAGGGAGCCTCAGCCCTGCAGCCCGTCGTGGGGGAGCCCCCTCTCAAAGCAGCACCACGGCCAGGCCGAGCTTTCCTTTCGCCTCTCCTCCCTCCTGCCTTATTCCTCGTGACAGCGAGAGCAGTTCACTTTAACTTCAAACATCTCATGCAAAAAGATGCGTCCGACAAGGGAAGGCGACCAGCTCAAGAACAGGGAGATTTTAATGTATTTATTTCTTTTCGCTCCGTGTCTCATAACCATGCACGGGAAATACGGATGTTTTCCAGATCTAAACCTGAAGCATCATATTTAGACATGACTATCTAAGATTGGGAATACCCACTCTCCAGGTACCTACCTGCATAGGTGGATACAAAGCTACAAAAAGCTTTGAATATATATACTCAAATTGAAAGAGAATGTTACATGTAATGGCCGAAAATTCCCATAGAAAGTTTATTTCTTAAACTACAATCAATATCAAATATTATAACTTAATATCTAAATAATGCACACAGATCATAACACCAGGCAATAATGTATTATGGATAAGTATTTCAACGTTTTAATTCTCACCCTAACCCCAATTCCCTGTCATTGCTATAGAAACACTTATTTCTCTCTTCTTAAAGCCAAAAGCAGTGTACAAACCCAAAAATCTCCAAAATTTGGTACAGAAATTCTTTCCTTGGCAGCCAACGCAAAGCCCAAGGCTCTTTCTCCCCACTCTCCAAGTGCTGATTTTTCCTTCAAAGCCTTATCTGAAGTGATGACTGTTCCTTCAACGTGACACATACACTGACTTTTCACGTTGACACTGTTTTCTCCAGCGCACCAAGCTGCCAAATGCAAGAACTGAGGAGAGCAAGTTCCAAAGTGTGCAAAAACGGGGACTTTCTTAAAGAAAGCACATTATGCTGCCTTGAAGGAACCCAATATCCTAGTCCAAAGTAAAACATAAAGCCAAGCTGAAGGCCAACAAGCCAAAAATACTAGTGGATGTGGAAGCACTTGGCCATTCTAGGACCCAAGAGCCTCTTTGCAAGCTGTAAATATCCTTCTCCTCTACATCCATCGCTTCATCACTGAAGTCTTGTTCCATATAGATATTTACAGGCATTCCCCTAACTTTCATAAAGGGCTGATAGGGAGAAATGGCTGGATAAGATGCTGTTTCTAATGATGTGAGGAGAAGGCAAGTCGCGGTGAAAACTCCAAGGAATATTTCACCCTGCAAAACCGTAACAAGGGAGCGACAACTGGAGGGCTCAAGAAATCCACAGTGACGCAGCCGCCAAACGCGGTAGAGAGTCGCACTCGAGCAGAGCCCAAGGCCAAAGAACAAGGCCAGGGATGAGCATTCAAGCCTTCACTTCCAAACCACCTTGATTTGTTTGTACGTAGCACAGCAGTACTGGAGGCAATTTTAAGGCAGCTGAGGGAGAACCGAGCCTAAGCGCAAAGACAGACTTGAGCATGGACTAACTTACCCTGCCTCTCAGGTTTTGCGAGTCTGGTTCRACTTCTGCCCGCTAGCAAAAATCTTCTGTCCCTCCAAAAACTGCTGTGGTGTTTTCTCTCTCTCTTTCTAATATTATAGGGTGCAGAGGGAATCCTATTCCTTTTTAGGATTATATGCCATAAAGAAACGGGAGAAATTTTAAGAAAATAAATAATATTTTGTAGCGACTTCCAACTATCGAACGGAGATCCTGGAGAGAGTCAGCAATGCTCCAGGGACTTGGCCATAGGTCTCATCTTCAATCGAGTTTCCTGATGTAAGGAGCTTCCAGGAGCACAGACGTGCAGATTTAAAATGCCAGGGAATTCACTGGCTTGCCTACCTTGCTCGGGAAG